GCACACATTTGTTTTCATTTTTATTTTTATAATCTGTTTATTTTTATCTTTGAATTTTATACCATTGACATGTAGCCCTCTAAGTTTATCATAGGACACATTTAAGTGCCCATACCGTTTTTATTTTCTGACTCGTGTTAATTAGTGATGTGTACTTTACTTACTTGAAAATGAAGATAGCTTAGCTGTCTTAGTACCCACTGATAGTAGTTTACTCGAAAGACGGTTAGAAAGCTAGAAAACGGTTAGAATTCCGAAATATACTAGTTAGTTGATTTTGACTTGTATATAGCTAGATTAAACCCGTCAACGTTTTCTAGGGTACAAAATTTCAAAGAACTTAATGCGACCGATTCCTTTCAAAATAAATATTGTTATTCGGGGTCATTAACCTTTGTGAGTGTTATGATCTAAGTGAAGGATCAACTTGAAGGGTCAAGAAACAGGTCGTGTGTTCGAACCCGTTCACCCACGCCGCCACCAACGCACCAACTTTCATACAGCTGGAAACCCACGGATTATGACATTTTTTAAGCTTCTCAGGGAATCCTCCTTCCTTCCTTGAGTTGTTAATATTACATTAGTTTGGTATGGCACAGGCTTTACGAAATAACCTAGAACTATTCAAGATTATAAGATAAGATTAGCATGTATTGGTAACGGGTCCAACATATTGATAATCCTTCTTAAACATTAGACCACATAATATGAAATCTATGAAGTTTAATCGCGTTTCGGTTTTAGTCTGTGGATTTCCGTTACCACATCTTGGTTCTATAGCGTTTCACCTTCCATCAACGGAACCCTCCATTGTTAATCCTCTGTTATAAAAAATACAAACTATACGTTGTCTATTATAGGATTATAATTTTGAGCTCTCTTACGCTTAACGTAGTACTCGGTATTTACCATTTTATCACAGAGGCATTTAGACAAGAATAAAGAAATGATAAATAGATACATTCAATAAATCTATGCACAGTACATTACTAAATGTGAATTTAATAAGTAGAAGTACTCTGCTGTAAGCGACGCACAGTAGTTTGTGGTTACTTACATAGTTAGTACACCCGAACGATTTTAGCTAACATAATTCTATAAAAAGCCCTCTATTTATAGTAATGAATGCAGTCGGCTGCCCTACACGCGTCTGCACTATGCTTTAAGGGCCTGTTAGGCTGCGGTCATAGGGCGAGCGAGAGCGATTTTACATAGAACAGAAAATACTTAGTAATTGATCATAGGATGTTGTTCAAGCAATAAATACACCACTGCTAGGCAGAACTCTTCGCGTTTTAGAGAGAGTTTGAAAGGACCCACCACACTGCTTAATTGGGGATTGGTAGGCTTTAACGAATATCACCATTAAATCCGCGGTGATTTTCATGCGTAAGCCCAGGGTGTCCAGCTTCAGGATCCCAATCTTGGACCTCAATGTGTAGTCAACTTGATTGTGTGGTGGAAATTACGTAACCGCTTGCCCAAGGCCCGCTCGCCGCTGATTGCGCGTCCTTACCCTGCCCGGCATCGATCAGGCGGCCCTTCCGCCGCGTTTGAAAACACCGCACGCAGTCATATGTATCTTTAGTCACGATCCTTATTCAATCATGCGCTAACTGCTGAATGGGCACAACTTTGTTAGTATCATATTCACTCAAATGTTCTAACGCCTGTTTCAGACTGCCCTGGCAATAATTTCTATATAAAAATATACCTTTTTATTTTTATAAAAAATTAAAAAAAAACAACAAGAATACATACTGTCGCAAAATACATATTTCATTATATAATAAGCGTTTACATATGGATATATGTAAACTGTAAGGATTAAAAGTTATTTACAGTTAAATTTGTACGGTTTAAAACGTGCCATATATATACCTGCACCGCGACGTTTCAAATAATTTGCGACAGTCTGGACAAAAACTGTTGTATTTAAAGATATACATTCATAAGAGAAAAATCTTAACGTTCATATTTACCCAATCAATGTACAATAACCTTTTTTAATGCAAATGTTCAATCCTCACCCGCCCAAAAAGTTATAAATTTCTGAAAGATGTTAGACTTCGTCTGGAAATCTGTATATAGAATGGGTGGTAGAAATATGGAAAAACCGTCCGGGTCACCGTCCACATATGCAAATATCGTAGTGTGTTTTGACACAAAAATGTCTGCTTTTTTAAATTCCAAATGATCTAAATTGCAAACAAAAGTTCATCTAAAGTAATAAAATACTTTGAAAATATAAGCATGCTTTGTTTTCTAAGTATAAAGTATTATTAAGGTCATGATATAGTCTCAGCGGTGGGAATAAATAGAAACAGCTATTTATGTCACTGGAATATGTTTCCCCGATGATCATGTCACACAACTGACCGGGTTTATAGGCTCGAGAGTATATTAATATGGCTTCGCTTTATAGGAAATGGATATTAGATTGGAAGGGAAAGCTTTGCCCTATATTCTTAATACTATTGCATGCTAGTAATTTACTAGAGATGTGCCAATATTTCGGTAGTTCAATCAAGTACCGATAATACTCAATACCGAATACACATTGAACCGAGTACTGCCTGTGGGGCTGAGTTAATCGTGTGCCTAGCGTTTTGTTAAACATAGTAATGATTTATGATTCTTATATTTTTATAGTGTTAGGCAGAAGCGAACTTGGTGTTTTGTTCTTTATTTGTACTCGTTAACCATTGAGGTATTTGGTACTTACAATAGTTGAAATTCAATTATTTACTTATTCAGATTTAATTTCCAAGAAGGAATTTGTATTTCTTAAATAAAATCGACGTCTAAGCTTGCAATTATTTTATTAAGGTCAAATGTTTTAACTCAATCGAATACTGTGTACTCAGTTACTCGTTAAAATTGGTACTCGGCACATCTCTAGTATTTTCGAAGTTGAGTTTTGCGTAATATAGGAAACGGTATTGGTACTAAAACCTAAACTACACAAACTAAAGCAAAACAGTGAGAGGTGCCAGCTTCGATGACCGGTAAAAAAATTGTCTGCCACACAGAAGAACAATCGTGTTTTTGTGTAATATGGGTTATATTATGTATGTGAAATTATGCTATGGCCTTTTCTTAATAATTACAGACACATAAATATGATTTAGGTGATAGTATCCTTAACAAGATGTCCCAGGGATGGGACCTTGTAAATGGGTTGATACCGGTAGTCAATAGGTCAGTTACTCACAAAGGGATTATCCGTTCTCGCGTAGCTTTGTAACTGCCAACGTTAATAGGATTATGTACTAAGAGACTTTAATATTCTGTTGCTACTAATATCACAACAAAATAATATTATTTTTGGCTCCGCTTTATATTTTATAATATGTTTAAATAAGTTACGTGACTCCATAGATTTAGCCGTTCACAGTTCAACTATAAAAAATATAGATACATCTATACTAATATTATAAACCTGAAGAGTTGGGTTGTTTGTTTGAACGCGCTGATCTCTGGAAATACTGGTTCGAATTGAAAATTTTGTGTTGGTTAGAGCATCGATCGAGAAGCTATAAAACATCACGCTGCATACAATAGGAATGAAGAAACAGTAGGAAATGTAGAAAATAATTTTATTAATATTTGTGGGTTCAAGAAGAAAACTTACCCAGACAAGATACCCAAAAAAATATAAAAAAGAACGATGACGACGAGCTCTTTAAACAATCTAAAAAAATATCCACCACAATATGCAAGTAGGAAAAAATGCCGGGCGCCGGCGATGTCATTATTATTATTATTTTCTTTCGGGGACATCTGTGGTAGGACGGGTGATCAGTCCACATTATCAGTTGACCATTTCACCCATTTCCCCATTTCCTCCTTGCAGAGGTTTTGGGTCATCCAACTCTCCCCGTGTCCCCTTCAAACCTTCCGGTTTGCTTGCAGAATCTTATTATTTTTTGTATTTGTCTCAGTCTCGAGTACGCAGAGCATTCAGTAAGTAGATGCATGCTTGTTTCCTCACTTTCTCTGCACTTCGGACACAGGGGGTCGCTGCCTATTCCTATCATTGTAAGATGTCTGTTTAGACGGCAATGTCCTGTTATGATTTCTACGATGAGTATGAGATCGCTCTCGTTGGTCTCATCAGGTTTTCGGTTTTCTTTTTATCTAGGCTTTTCGACTGTCTCCTGACTGACGAAGATTTCCATCTTTGGTTTGTTTCTTCTATGATTCTGCGCTCGATTATTCCCTTGGTACTTTATGGGCTTTTGGAAGTTTCGGTTCCATAAAGGTTTGCTTAAACAAACTTTGATGCGTAAAATTACTATTCTATGCGGGTAAAGTTGCGACCATAGCTTATTATAATTACAATATGCTCTGAAAATAGTTATAAAACTTTGTGCTACAAAACACAAAAAGCTAGTTTAGACCTGTTGTTCCTCAGCTGGGCAGCCGTTCCCACCCACATATGAGAGAGTTATAGAAACTAAGACCCACCACGCCGATCCACTGCGTGTTGAGTCTTCAATAATTTCAGGCAGTTCTTCATAATGTTATTAAACGTAAAGATTTACTATGTCACATGTCAACTATTACCCATTGAAATTAATTTGTGTACGACGACGATGCATTCAATAAAAGAGGAATGCAAATATTATTGACCTTTGCTACTAAGATAAGTTTGTGCGGCATTGAAAGTAATTATATACCATTATCACTCATAGGGCGTGGAATATTCTATATGTTGTTGAAAGTAAGCTAGGTCGCTGGTTCATATCCGGCTCGAAGGACCAAAATGAATGCCCTTCTCTGAGCTCATTCGTGGTATAATTAAACGACAAGTGGTAATTAGGTTTTTTTATTGGGTTTTAATCATAGCGCTGTTAGGTCTGGGTAGTCATAGATGGGTTTAAGGAATGTGAGTGTCAGATTGGGCTTAGTCGGTCTTAGGGTCTCAATTGGCCTTTTTTTGGGTCTGTGGCACGTCAGTCTGTCTGCGTGGCGCGCGAGGCGAATCGATGCCGTCGCTACGAACCGCCTCCTTTATTCCCCTCTTCCTTGTGCTTGCTGATGTACACGTGTAAGAGTCGCATCTTGCTAACTGACAGGTGTTTGTAGTGCGGCTGCATTTTCTCTTCGCCCAGGGCAAATGTGAAGGCGACCATACAGAATATGGCCGCCTTGCGAACAGCCGAGTTCTGGTGATCTGCTAACTGTCCTACCCCTTCCATTAAGGGGGAGACGATCTCGTCGGTTAGTTCTGGTCCCCTCGCCTTAGCCACTTCTGCAGCCAATTTCAGCGCACAAAGTGACGTTGGGTAACCTCTTGTTCTAATCACTGGTTTCAAGAGCCGGAGCATCTCATGGGCTGGCAGCGCAGCGGCGATATGCGACATGCCGTTGTCAATGGCTCGCATAACCTCTTTACTCAGTGCCCCGTACGCGTTGATAAGCTTCAATAGGATAAGGTCAAAGTAATCTAGCCACTGCGGCCTCGTTTCCGGCCGGCGACACAGCCAGATGAGAACTTTCACCGCTTCTGCTGCGGTACGCTCATGGGCGGTGCCCCATCCTGATTGTACGTTGGTAGCATTTTCGTAATTCTCTTTGTCTACGGAGCTATCGTCCACTGTTATAACCGCTAGTGACACCCTTACTATATTTTTAAAATACTCGCACGGCTTCTTGCACTCGCCGTATTTGAGGATCTCGTGCGTTGCCAAAAACAGCCGTTCGGAGTGCTCCCAAGGGTCTTTGGTTACATCCAGTTTACTTAACGCTTCGAGTACCTCCGTTTCTCGGAGGCCAGCTTTCGTAATTAATAATCCATTTTCGTCAATTTCGTACGGTTTAATCTTATCACGTCCCATGTTTCCGGAATTGTAGTCACCGTGCGTATGACCACAATCTCTATGTGGGATTGGGGATGATTCCTTCGTGCTATTAGCTTCCTCTGAGCTATCGGCAGATGCGGCGCGGCCTATTTCACCAGCGTAATGTCCATTCGGTACTGCGTTCGGGCCACGCGCCGATAACGTCACATCTGACATTTGACTGATGCCAGAATCTTTGCTTGACATGTGGTTGCCGCATTCAGCATTTGCATGTTGGGCTGTATAGGTGTGAATCTCTGACGTCGTCTTCCTTATCCTTGAGTATACATCTTCAGCATTGGAGTTTGAGGTCGTACTTGACGTGCGAAGAGGACTGTCGCTACCGGTGCTTGATGTTCTTCGGACGTGTTGCTGTAAAACACCGTTTACTAATCCTTGAATGTCTGCAAGTAGCTCGCTCATTAGCGCAGTGAACGGTACTGGATTACAGTCGTACAGTGTCGCAAGCGCACGTCGTGCCGAGACGCGGACATCTGCCGCTCTTGGGTCGTTAGCAAGTGCGGCGACCTTTGACAATGCCCTTCCGGCCACGCCAGTGCTGCCCCCTTGTAAAGCCACAGCTAGACTGTTAGGTATGCAGTATTCACTCGCAAGATCAGCTAAGAATCGCAATGCGGCTATTTTGGTCCTAGGAGGGGGCGCTGTCGCTCCATCAGCCAGGAATCTGAATATATTGTGAAGTTGTAGTTCCGCGGGGAAACACTCGTGTATCACATCTAGAGTCTTCATAATCTTGCTTTGCACGGAACCCAGGATGTCCGTTCCTAGTTTCATTAGTAACCTAAACATGAGTTGATATAGCCAATCCTTCAAGTGTTGCCAGTGCACTAGCAACAGCTCGCACACCGCGTCAAGCAGCAGCGAAAACACTTTGGTATGCGCATCTACGAACATTTTGTTCAGGAGCTCGGTCAGTCGGCATAACTGCTCTTCAGTTAGGAGTCTGCCACTGTTTAAATAGTTTGCCAAATGTGTAAGTCCTTCCTTTCGCTCGGTCCAATGTGTGCAAGCGCATAGGGCGATAATGTCGTCTCCGTCGAGAGCTCTCCTCCTCCCCCGCCACCTCCGGAGCCAGCCACCTCCGGAGGACCAGCCGAGGCGACCGGAGCTCGATCATGTAAGACTGTCATGTCGTCTGTAAGAGTCAAGACTCCGTTCTGAACATACGCTGGATGCTTCCGAGTCGTCATCTCTTCTGCCATCGCAGGCAGAGTTGTCATCCGGGCTCCTTAAAGTAGACTCAGCATCCCTCGATTGTTGGAGTAGCCTAAGAGTGGAAGTGGGCGGTCTCTGCGATCGTTCGACGGACTCTCTTCTTCTTACGCTGCCCACAACACTACTTGAACGACCCGTTCTAGTAGGACTGGTCTCCCTAGAACCCGCTAGAGATCTAGGTATCCCGGATGGCCTTCGTCTTGCGCTGGTTAGAGACACTGGTCCACTTCGTGATGAGGGTGATGAAGAGCGTGATGTAGGTTGTGATTGAGAGACGCCCGGTCTGGATCTAGACCTTACAGTTCGCTCAGGAGATGGCGCCACAGTGCCGCTTACTGGTGACCGCTTTGCACGCGGCAAGCTCGCAGTTCCCGCGGCGACCTTGTTTCTGGCGAGATGCGAATACAAAGCCCTTGCTTTTGCACGTTGAGCGGCCGCTGCGTCCACTGCGCTTACAGATCTCGCTGATACGCCAGCGGATACACAAGCGGAAGGACTCCGCGGACTCGTGATCATTCGCCTTTCCGTGCCAATATGTTGAAGACTATCCACACTGCCTATCCGCTCTCGTTCGATCTGCTTCTGCGCAGCCGAGTCCAATCTTGAGAACAGCTGTTCTGCGTCTTCTGGGAAATGCTTCTTGTACGACCAGTATGCTCTCCTTCCATGGTTCCTTGCAGTGCTGTCAGCGTCGACGCAAGCGCGTCTAATAGCTTCGTGGATGACTTGTTGTTGTTTCTCAATGGTCTGCGGCGGCCATCTCTCTAGCACCAAAACGAGCACCTCACTAAGAGTAGATCTGATTTCCTTCGACTTGTGCGTCGTCAGGTTAGTTGTAAGAACAGGGATTAACCTCGGCGAATGCACGTATGTGACTATATACCGAACGCACACAGTTCCGGCCGACGACACAACCTTGGCCGCATTCTGTATGAGATTAATAAGCTCCTGTAGAATATACAGACTGAACTGCTCTAGTTTGTTCTTCAATACTTTGGCCATGTGACCTATAGTTATACACGCCTCGCGCACAACCTGACTTCTCAGATCTTTAATCACGACTAGAAAAGGCACAGAGAGGTCCTTTAGATGCGCTGAGAACTCTGTCGGGTATTGAATGTGTGCGTTAGCAGCAAGTAATGAACGAATTTTCATTAACGCGTCAACGCATTTCTCCCATTCGGCTGATTTATCTCCCAGTAGCGCTGCAGCGTGCCGACATAGGTCGTCCAAGCCCCTAGCGCCGTATACCGCCGCAGGCGCAACGTGCGCAAACGCAGCTTCAAACGCCTCGCTCGACACGGCGCTCGCTTCGCCACCGGCGCTACCGACTGCGGTAGATACGCTAGATGCACTGGTAAATTTGGCCGGAGGCGGTGGTTTTCTGCTTGCTGATGGTAAATTGTATAGCCCACCCACAGTCCGCTTAACTTCGCAAGCTGGAGTAGAAGCACCGCTGTCCCCATCTCGACAACGACTTGTCGGTATTGTCATGGTCCGTTTTATAGTTCTAGATACGAAGTCAGCTTCGTCCGTGCCGACGGTTGCTGAGGGTAACAGCAATCCAGCCTCTCTCGCTTCGTCAAACTTCTGTTCCAGTAAAGCCAGCTTCTGGGCGGGCACCAATTCCTTCTTCTTTAAATCCTGACGCAGCCTTTCACCGACATGTCTGTATACATCGACCAGTAGCTGGGCTGCGGCGTCTCTAACGGCTCCGTTTGGATCGCCGACCAACGCAGCTAGGCTGGGTATGCACGACCTAAGCTGTAGTTCTGTAGCTCCGTGCGTATAAAGTAAAGCCGCTATACACTTGGCGTTTCTTCCCGCGTATGCGCAGCCTTATGCTGGAGCGCTGGCGTCAGCCTCGCGAGCAACGCCCGGGGTGCAGCCGCTCTGCAGTCGCCAAGGGTGCTGATACAGGTTCTAGCCTTTCCAGTGACTCACATATCCTCATCAACAATATTAATTTTTCCATAGCCGAAATAGGTAATGAACTGCGGAGACTTGATGCTAGTAAAGGCCCTGGTCCTGATACTATAGGTCCTGTCTTTCTTAAACGCACATACCAATCATTACGTCTTCCATTATACATAATATTTAATAAATGTTTATCAGAAGGCACCGTTCCTAGTCGCTGGAAGCTTTCCCACATAACACCTATTTTTAAGTCCGGCGCTAAAAATGATGTAGCTAACTATCGTCCGATTTCAATCCTTTCGGCAATTCCAAAGATTCTTGAAAAGCTTGTTCATCGGTATATATCTTCTAAACTAAAGCACGTAATAGTTGACCAACAGCACGGTTTTACAACTGGTAAATCTACCCTCACAAATATACTTGTTTTTACTAACCATATTTACAACGGCTTGGATAGCAAACATCAAATTGACGCGATCTATACAGACTTTCAAAAGGCATTCGACAAGGTCGACCACATAATACTCTTACAGAAACTGTCTTTCAATGGTATTAAAGGAAATCTTCTACGTTGGATAACAGCATACCTGCATAATCGTGCTCAGTCGGTTGTTATAAATGGATTTACTTCTTCTCAAGTTTTGGTGACGTCTGGCGTACCCCAGGGCTCAATCCTTGGACCCTTGCTTTTCTCTATATTTATTAATGATATATCGAATTGCTTTATAAACAGTAAATACTTGCTCTACGCAGATGATCTAAAAATATATAAAACAATACTTTCACCATCTGACGTGTCGCGTGTCCAGGAGGATCTCGACAGGATGGTAGACTATTGTAATCGTAATAAACTATCCCTCAATTATAATAAGTGTAACCATGTCGTGTTTACTAAAAACAAAAACATAATAACCTCTAAATTCACTCTCGGTAACCATACTCTTCAATCCGTTAGCCTTATTAGAGACCTTGGTATTCTTCTTAACTCTAAACTTATCCTTGATAAGCACGTAGACCAAATAGTAAATAAAGCTTACCGTATGCTGGGTTTCATAACACGCGTCACCAGATCATTTAAAAATAAAGCCACTTATATTTATCTCTATAAAATGCTTGTACAGTCACAATTAGAGTATGCCAGTCCTATTTGGAATCCTTTTTATAAAATATACGTAGCCCAAGTAGAAGCTGTCCAAAAGAAATTCTTGCGAATTCTTAATCATCGTATGAAGGGCGCCAAAACCCACTACAATGATCTACTTAAGGATTATAATCTACATTCTTTAAGTCAAAGGCGTCACCTAATTGATAGTGTTACCTTAAGAAAAATATGTGTATATGAAATTACTTGCTCTGAACTTCTTGAACTTTTGATATTTAATGTACCAGCCAAGCCTTTGCGCACGCACAGAACATTTAATCTACCGACTCCTAGGACCAATATAGGGTTCCGTGCACCCCTCCACAGAATGTGTTCTTCGATAGACTCTTTTGAGGATATTGACCTGTATTGCCGCTCCTCGACTGCCTCATTTAAAAATAAATTAAAGCAATCACTTACCTTATTTTAAAACTTGTTTCTAGTTTTCTTTTTTTTTTTTGTCAATTTGTGTAAAATTAATGTTAAGTGCTCCTAATTTCAATTGTAACTATAATACTGTAATTTTGATGCATATCATTGTTTTTCATGGTCTAGTTGTGTAAGTTATTGTAAAACCTCGATTTTATCTGTGAAACTATTTAAGGGAATATCTGTACTCTATATATATATTTAATTCCTTATAATATGACTCTGTGATATTTCTGTTTGTTTCCTGTTTTCTTAAATAAATAAATAAATATATATAAGGTAAATGGCCAATAGATTTCGACTCGACTCCTTCGGTTTATTTAAACCGAACAACAAAATATTTTTAAATCTGAGCAGCTTTACTTTTAAACAAAACACCACTAACGGTTTTAATCACGAAATATTTTAGTTTAACTTAAATTATTTTTACTACTACTTTCTTTTAACATCGATAGTTTTCTCAGTGCATACGATAAATTTTGCTTTCTGGTGCACACACACTTAAGGGCTTTTTACATTTTAAGCTACGTTTTAGTAAGATTCCCTAATCATTTGCATCAAAAAATATGGCCTATATTGTTCAACGTGAATGTAGTTTTCTAACGGTGACAGAATTTTTGAAATCGACTAAGTAGTTTATTGAGTTTATTCACACAAAGAAAATTACAACGTCTTTACAATATTGGTAAATACGTATATGGATAAAATAAAGCTCTCTTTTGATGTCCCAAGTTTCACAGAGATGCTTTTAAAGCCTGTCAAGTTACATTAAGCTAATATAGTGATCCTGTTGCGTAAGAATTCTCACTGACACCATTACGTCTACGATTCCAGATGAAATATTAAAAAGATTTATAGTCCAAGAGCCAAAGATGCATTCTATACACGCTTAAAATAATGTTCTATGTATAGCTTTTGTTTAAGTGATTTGAGTTAGAAACGTAACGAAAATGTAGCGACAGTCTTCAGTCTGTGTTAAAAATTGTAAATGAAATATAGCGGTTATTTCGATTTTCTTAAATCATAAACTGATGGTTATATAATTTCTAGCCTAGAGAATTCGAATCGTTCACGATTGGCGTAAAGTTCTCTTTAGGTTTAAAAATTTGATTGCAAATAAAGCCTACCTAAACTAGCTTTCAAACATATTTTAAAAATTAGTGCAAATATATTGTTCCCTATTTTCTAAGTCAGCTCTTAGACTAAGTGCTCAGCGCATAATTGGTTCGCTTGGTCGCTCTTCGATTTCTGGGTCGATTGAACGATACGTTTCCTTTAAATGGATATTCAATTTATTTATTCTTTATTAAATTTCTTCCTTCACTCTCCATTACGTACTTTTGTTCGGGTGCAATGCTAGCTTCTACCAACCGTGACAAGAATGGTAATAAATAAACATTCTTATATTTTAGTATGGTTTTATAAATCTCTTTTCTTCTTGCGTAAACGGCTTTTCTCATAGAGTTATTTGATGGGACAAAGAAAGAGATACTCCTTAAGGGTATGGAAAATTTTAAGTTGAAGTTATATGAAATATTTGTAAATAATAAACGATTTGCAATTCCAAGCTTGTCTATACAAAAAAGGTTTACTACCTGTCTATCCTTATATTGACGACAATCGCGCTATTCACTTAGACCATTGCTAGGTAGTACCTACCGCGTATTTACGCTAGGGTTTGTACGCGGCTTCACTCGCGTAGGGGCCATGTTATATTACTTCCAGGTAAAATTTACAGGCACCTACATCTTCCCTTCGTCCGCTGTGCTAGGTCGGTCAAACATGGTTTTCTAGCTTATAAAAAGCTCTCCCTCTATAAGTAATACTAATGGTACTGCTAATTTCCTGGTCCTCCTATTAGTGCGGGCTTCACAGTCGTGTCACGTACCCCGGCCGTTGCCGGCGGAAGGACATACACTGTGACACGAATCGAATCAACCTATACATGTTTTGTCACGCGGCGTGACTTCCGCAAAATAAGCACTTAAATATAAATCAGTAGAGACCGACTGGATCAGCAGACCAGTCTGAAGCTGAAAACATCGTAATATACACCGTGCAGCAAACGTGTTATTCAAACTCAAACATTCATCAACTAAATAAACATAATAACCGTCCAAGAGCAATTCGAAATTCTCGACCGAAGGGTCCCGTATCATTCAAAATGTGATATTTCTTTATTATATAGTACACTTTTATTAGTTCGAAAACGTATCGAGCAATAAGGAGGTAAATCGTATCGTTATTTACCCCTTCAATATACGTATTTTGTTTTGTTTTCATTATTTGCTGTTACAGCTGTAACAATAACCTATAAAAATGAAAACATTCTGGTTAAAGTGGTTCTTGAAATACAATTTGATGCCAGACACACATAAAAGTCTAAGTACGCTCCCATTTTACTGTTTAGGTGCGGAACCCTAAAAACTCTTTATAAGGAGAACGCCACAAATATCTTTTTAGCAATTCCCTTCTCACCATAAACAGCTACGTAATACGTAGTTATTAAAAAAGACGTTCGATTTACGACGGCGGCCATCTTGTATTTATCGTGATTAAAAGTGTAATACAAATCAGATCAATCTGTTAACACTAGGATAAATTACAAACACAGAGATAAATAAGATCAAGTAAAAATACATATAAGCACTGTATCTAGTTTACTGCGAGTATTACAAATTTCAATAATAACATTTTAAGATTAGAACGCAAAATATATTTTTTAGTTTAACTAACGCTCAGTAATTTTAAAAATCGTTACTTCGTGTGTGTATAAAGTATTATATAAAGATTTCTGTTTGTCTGTCTCTCTCTAGCGTAAAAATGCGTCTATTTAAAATATTCGTTACGAGGTCAAACTAATCACAATTATTGGTGTGATGACACGCGTTCTATATTAATTAGCGACTAACAATGCAATCAGATAATCTGTGGTTCTGCTTTGTCCAGGCATGAGAGAGGGACAGACGGGTATTTTCACTTTAGAGCAAGGTGAAAACACCCCTGACGCCATCTAATTGAAATGCACTGTTCAAAGCCAAAATGGGTCGATTCTGGCTCTAGGCAGACCGGAGATTGAACACTGTAACACGAATTCACACGTCACGGCTTTACATCTGGGAATGATGTTCTGTGGTGGTTCGTCAGTAATAATTCGGATTTTTCCGGACGTGTTTTAGAATAATTTTAAGATCACCTAGATGGACGTGGGAGCGAACTTCTCTAGTCATTAGGTAAATAATAAATATCAATGATACCTAAGGTCTTAAATTATTGTTTAATAAACCTAGTGGGAATCAAACCCACGACCCGTTTATTTGCCATTGTTATTTTGAGCAGCGAGTCTTAAAATATTCTTATTTCACTAAGTGTAGAGTGCGGTGTCAAATCCTGTCGCGTCATTAATAATTATTATGGGTGTAGAGGCGTTTACAAACGGAAATGCTTTACCCACACTGCGCCCGCGCAGACCATGTAATCTAATATTGCGCTGCATCCAGTTTTACTTAACTCGAACGTAGGCCTTTTAATTACCCGAACATTGTTCTTGAAAGCAAAGAAATGGAACCGGCTCTTTTAAAAAGCGTTTTATAATTTTTGCTACGTCAATACATAGTTACGACTTCGAAAGACCCAGTTTTAGTAAGAAATGATGTTGATTAAGGATTGCCTAAATGATGTCTATAGTTTACGCGAGTAGTACATACACATTTAAATAAAAGGCTTTAACGGTTTTAAACGCGATATATTAGTTATGTATTAGTAGTTTGTACTTACTTCTTCTACTTTTTCTTAGTTTGATAGCTTTACGTTTCTAAATGGATTTTGCCAATGTTATGTGTCAAAAAGTACTTATTTTAAAAGGTTGCCTTTTCACGTCACGTCAGACAGATGCTCGTTGCTTGAAATTTTAGTTTTTACTAAAAACGTATAAAGAAAACTAAATACTTATAAAGAAGACATACGAACAAGCAATTTTTTTTGTTTGTATGTTTTAAGGGGATTTAATAAAAAAAATTCTGACGTTTATGGTTTGAGTTTTATCATAGACTATGATTGTATGTTACTTATAGGTATCTATCGCACCCCGCCATCTTTAAGAAACACACATAGTAATAATGCATTTTTGATTGGTACAATTGGTACAATACGTATGGATCAGTAGCACACTTAACTTAAAAAGTTACGCCTTAGGGTAGAGCATACATACATACCGACTCTATCGTTACAAACATCGTACCCCGAGTTTGGGCTCCGCCGTCGTCTGTTTAAAACCATAAGGTATTAATGCTATTACATGTTTAAAAAGGGACGTGGGTTTGCATTTTAAAGCGTGGGCTGCTTTAATAGACTTCTTGTTATATATGACTTGTGAAATACATAGCCATAAATTACGAATGCGAGTCAATTAATTTAAGCTAAAAAAATATTATACTTCCATATTTTTAATTGTTGCTTAATGGTTAAATGTTTTGTCTAGGGTTACGTTAAGCACGTCTCAGATTCGTATCATGGGGAAACAATTGAAACGAGACGAAGTTTCACTTTTTTCTATGGTAACTCAATGGTATTGGCTTGAGCTTGAATCCCAAGGAATCAGTTGAATTTATGCATAACCCCGAGGTCTGATAACACTCGCTATATACGTAACTATGTCAACTTAGGATCAGATCACAAGCAATTTCCAAAAAACGCTTTCAAAGCTCGAATTATAAAGTCGCAACGCGAAATATATCCGTTGACTTATTTTTAACTTTGTGTTCTAAGTTTAAACATAAGATAGAATGTACGCTGAAATTATTATTTAATAATTCATTGAAAATGCTCCTCACACGGCTCTGTTTTCTTAAGACCTACTTGATATACCCTTTTGGGCCACAAATGCAACAAAGCCCCTAAATTTCTAATTAACGTTTTATTTATCCGAAGCGCGTTATCAAAGTTTAAATAAACGAATTAAGGATTGTTTCCGCTCGATTCAATTCACCGATAGCGACTTCCGGCCTTATCACTTTTGACCATCAATATTAGTTAACTAGCAAACGACGGCTTTGCTCGAGAATTATAAAAAATAATAATTACATAAAAAAAATACGATACGGGATGTACTTGAACCGGCATCCAAAGCGTGTCGTTTTTGTTTTTTAATCTAAATAGTTTTTAAGTTAAAAAAATCCCCCCATGGGAAAAAATTTTAATTTTTTTTCTTTAAAAATAAAAAGGGCCCCCCCGGGGGATTTTTTTTGTGTTTTTTTTTTTCCCCCTTTTTTTTTTCCCCCCCCCCCCTCCCCCTTTTTTTTTTTTTTTTTTTTTGGGGGGGGGGTGAAAGAGAATTTAAAAAAAAAAAAAAATTTTTTTTGGGGGCCCCCCCCCCCCCCCAGGAAAAATTTTTTTCCCGGGGGGGGGGGGGAAAAAAATCTAAATTATATAATCAGTTTTTTTTAAAACGGTATTTCAAATTAATTTAATTAAACTGATAATCGAAACCTTTATAAAAAATTTTTTTTTTAAAAACCCCTTTTTTTTTTTTTTTTTTTTTTAAAATTTTTTTTTTTTTTTTTTTTTCCCCCCCCCCCCCCCCCCCCCCCGGTTTTTTTTTTTTTTTTTTTTTTTTTTTTTTTTAGGGGGAAAAAGTTTTTTTTTTTTTAATAGTGGCGATGGTAGGATGCCTCAAGACTGTCATTAGCTTTGGCATCGAACAAAAACGTCGGAGTCCCAAGGGAATTTATTTCCTATACCACTGTATTAAGAATCAAATTAAATTACGACGCTTAATAGCAGTACATGCAAAGCCCACTATTGTCTGCTTTGACGACTGAATCCGTAGTCAAAGCTTTGTCAATTTTTTATGAAACCGCTTTCTTTTATGTATGGACTATAGAGGACTAGTAATTAAAAAGTTGTCTATAAATTTGTGAGACCGTACTTACTGTGATTTCGTATTGGAATGGGCATAGTTTTAACTAATTCTACTAATAATAATCGATCAGCCCATCAAATTCCAAAATGACTTAGGTAGTCCTTGTAGTTTACGCGAGTAGTACACATTTATATAATAAACGTTAAACGGTTTAAAACAGGAAATACATTCGTTTACCTTTTGCTAAGATTCGAGAAATGAATTATGATATGTTATTTACGATATTGGTTTTACGTTGTAGTTTGTGTATTGTTTAGTACGTATTTTGAGCCTTATACGATGTTATGTGGCACCGGCCGTGCAAGTCTGGATAACTTCCAATCTTGGTCACCGGTCTTGCCATAACGATAGCACCACTGCAGTAATCTCTCTTGCATCTCATAGTCTAAGAGCCGATCTTGACTTTAAATTAAATAAAAAGCCATATATATGAATCTACAACTTTAGTAATAACGCTCATCAGCTTAAGATGCTGTTGGCCTAACATTTCTCTAATGCGATCCCAATTCGCAGGCTAACAGCATATACATACTTTGAATACAAAATCAAGAGTTGTTTTAATATTTTTTACAACTAGGCAAGTGGCCTGCAAATAGAACTATTTAGTAGAAAAGACAGAGAAGTGTATCTGCCCTATGCCCCAAGTTAGGGAAAGGAATTTCACAATTAAAATGTTTATGACCTATTTTTAATTGTAATTTTTAATACTCCATGAAGTACTATAAATATTTCCAAGTTATAAAGAATCCAGTGTTGAATTAAAAAATAAATAAGGGTGCTCTGGATGAGATCGCTCTATAGCGATAAGGCCGTTATCGTTATAACTTTTAGTATTAAGAATATTTTTTAAGGAAATATGTATAT